GCAGATTTAAGCAGACAAAATCTGTAAGTAGTTATTTGTTTATGTTCGCAAGTAGACAAAGGTTTTAAACACATCTTAACATCTTACACTGACATTGACGCCTACGGTGTTGTGTGGCTGGTGATACACTGTAAACATTTTTGTATTTGATTGTTTAGTTCTTGCTCTCATATGAGGCGAGATTCTAAAGTAACCATAACCCTAACACTTACTCATCATAAAAAAAAAAATTAAACAAAATTAAAGTTAAGTAAATGGTAGATACAAAATCTTAACACAAGCTCACATTAAAGTGTACAATCTTATGTTTTAAGATGTCATGTCATGGCTCAGTGTTACAAGATGTCATGTCATGGCTCAGTGTTACAAGATGTCATGTCATGGCTCAGTGTTACAAGATGTCATGTCGTGGGTGGGTCAGTGTTCCAAAGATGTCATGTCATGGGTCAGTGTTACAAGATGTCATATCATAGGTCAGTGTTACAAGATGTCATGTCATGGGTCAGTGTTACAAGATGTCACGTAATTGACAACTACTCAACACGTGTCTTGTAGAAATATTTAAAGTGTGCACACAAGTGACCAGTGTTGCCAGATGTCATTACTTTATGCAGTGTCAAAGTTCGCTTCGTTTGACTACAAAGTTTTAATTGACTGCGAGATGTCAGCCGACAGTGACCAATGCGAGATCGAAGCCACCTCGGCCGAGAGATTACAAAGCTTAACGGCAGCCTTTGCCTCCAACAACCAAGCGGATATCGAGAGACATTCATGCAAGTGGGTTCAATCTTTTAGTTTCTTTACTTTACCATCACTTTCTATGATATTTTTATACTAATATTTTGTTCCTTGAATATGGTTTCATAAGTAGGTAACACGTGTAATTTTTAAAAGTTATATCTAGAACGTGTATTTAAGCAATACGTTTTCGAAATAGGTTATTATCTGGAAGGGTGACAGGACAAATGATCTCAGACAAAATATCTCAGACAAAATATCTCAGACAAAATATCTCACGGACAAATGATCTCAGGACAAATTATTTCAGGACAAATTATCTCAAGGACAAATGATCTCACGGACTAAAGATACCAGAACAAAATATATCAGGACTAATGATACCAGGGACAATGGATCTCAAACAAAATATCTCCGATAAAATATCTCACAGCAAAATTTGGATAGTGCATTGGATGATTTTAGTTGATCTGAACAACTTTTTTATTGACTGTCATATGGTTTTGTTTAATATGTTTAGTATTGTTTATAGGCCTACATAATAATTGTAAGAAATGCTTGCTGTATAAATTTGTAATATTGTACTAAACATTTTAAAATTAAGACTGCTAATATAGTATGTGAAGATTAAAGAGTTTTTTTCAATAGAAAGCGTTGGTGGTCTTGACAAACATGAGACAATTCAACCACGTCAGGTGGACGAAATTAGCTCAAAAGGAATGAAATAACAATAAAGACACACCTTCGTATCACGGTGGGCGCCCTCTTCGATGGCAGAGACATGTCTTATGGGAAAGACATCCGCCCTCCATGGACAAAATAAATAGCATCTAAATTCCATTGTTATGTGTCGGTCACACCTTAGTGATCATGTGACAAATGCTTATTTAAACGACAGCGGTCATCGCGTAACTAAGTTTGTCGCAGTGTGTATGCAAGCACAGCAGTATTAGTGGTGATTACTCAGCTGTGGCCTCATACGTTACCTAGCAGAGAAGTTTTAGGGCATAAGTTTCTTGTGAATTTCTGGTTATAAAAGCCATAAGTGGAGCAGCAGGCAAAGAGATTTGGAAATGTGAAGTTAGAACATGTAAAGTAAGAGTTCATACAATACATGATCACACAGGATTGGAGAGGTGTGATCATAACGATGTACCTGCCAGCAAAGAAACGTAAACGTTTGTGTTGATGATGCAATAAAAACAATAGTTTTACGTTACGAACCTGAAGACCAATTCACATTATTGAAAAATATTTCGCGTGTTTTAAACATTAATGTTATTGTATTTGTTCTATACATTATCATTTTTTATACCATTCATGCTAAAGGAGTAAGTTTGTTTCAATTTTTTATTTTTCAAAATCGAATATTATTACAAAGGTTAGTTTAATAAATCTTTTGATGCTTTGTTAAGTTCAACAAATTCATTTAATTCAAAATTATGATACGTTAAAAAGTAAACAAAACCATATTAACAGCCTATAAAAAAAGTTCAAATGAACTATAATCAAGGTACATACTGTTACAATTTTGCTGTGAGGTGTTTTGTCTGGGATATTTTGTCTGAGATCGATCGTCCATCATATCATTTGTCCTGATATATTTTGTCCTGATATATATTTTGTCCATGAGATCATTTGTCCTTACGATCTTTTGTCCTGAGAACATTTCTCATAAATTGGCGCGGTTATCTCTATATGTGTTGATTTACTTAGCATACTTTGCAACTTATTTTGGAAATAACAAGTACGTAATTAATTGCAAGTAATGTTGACTTATTTTAGACAATATTCTTAGAGAAACAAAAATTCATTAAGTTACCCAGACTGTCAATAGACTACATGTGTGTATCCAAGCCCAGTACACCAAACGGAACCAAACCTCTAACATGTTCCCTGCTTCTGTTCCCCAGACTGTCAATAGACTACATAAAGTGTAGTCTGGCCCAGAACACCAAATGTAACCAAACCTCTAACATGTTCCCTGTTTCTGTTCCCCAGACTGTAACTAGACTACATGAAGTGTATCCAAGCCCAGTACACCAAATGAAACCAAACCTCTAACATGCTCCCTGTTTCTGTTCCCCAGACTATCACTAGACTACATGAAGTGTATCCAAGCCCAGTACACGAAATGTAATAAGGATTTTGAGGACTTTTTTACTTATCAGTTTGCTCGCCTTGGCCCGTAAGTTACATCAATTACCTGTGGCTGTTTTTTTTTCGCTAAATATCGTAATTTACGATATGTTATTGAGGGAGATTTCAAACGTTTTCCTGAAAAACAAATATGGTTGCCAGGTGTCCAGTTTCGAACTGGACAGTCCAGTATTTGAGCAGACTGTCCAGGATAAAATAAATATAAATACTGGACAAGTATATGAATAAAACTCTGTTACCCCCTTCTTCAGCTTTGCGGCATACCTGAGAAGGGAAGGATGTAAAGGTGTCCAGTATTTTTGGAAAAGGTATCTGGCAACCCTAAAAACAAATTTTCTCTACTTGACAAATTATCTCATGTTTTTATCTTGACTTATCTCAGCGTCCAATTTTTGTATCTTGACTTACCTCAGCGTCCAATGTTTGTATCTTGACTTACCCCAGCGTCCAAACTTTGTATCTTGACTTACCCCAGCGTCCAATGTTTGTATCTTGACTTACACAAACGTCCAATGTTTGTATCTTGACTTACACAATCGTCCAAACTTTGTATCTTGACTTACCTCAGCGTCCAATGTTTGTATCTTGACTTACCCCAGCGTCCAATGTTTGTATCTTGACTTACACAATCGTCCAATGTTTGTATCTTGACTTACACAAACGTCCAATGTTTGTATCTTGACTTACACAATCGTCCAAACTTTGTATCTTGACTTAGCCAAGCGTCCAATGTTCGTATCTTGACTTACCCATGCGTACAATTTTTATATCTTGACTTGTTTCAGCGTCCAATGTTTGTATCTTAACTTACCTCAGCGTCCAATGTTTGTATCTTGACTTACCCCAGCGTCCAATGTTTGTATCTTGACTTACCCCGATTCGAATGGTTTATTTCTCAGAGACTGTCTATTGGAGCACCAGTTTTATAACAAGTTGATTCTCACGGACAAGTGCACGTCACATTCACGCACAACCAACGGGGCGTCGTTAGTCGGAACAGGGGCGTGGTCTATCAGGACAAGGGCGTGGCTGATGTTTGCTGTAGCCTTTGTTAATAGTGTAGGGCGTGTCCATATGCTCAGATAAAATCTGACTTGTTTAGTTCTTGGCTATCTTCTGTAGCTGGGTGCAACAAAATAAGTTTAGAAAATGTTTTTATTTTTAAGTATTATCTAGGAAAACATTAAAAAGTTATTTCTGCATAGAAAAAAAACACGTTTTTCTTTGTTTCTTTGGAGATTCCGCGCTTATATTAAACAAAGATTGAATGAATAATTTTTTTTTTGCATAGACAAAACGTCAGCGGTACATTTTTGAGTCACTTGTCACTATTTTACAAGCTTTTATTTAACTCACTTCCTCGTCAGTCTGTCGTCAGTCTGTCTAGACCGAAACGCTGGAGTGAAAATTCGGAAACTTCTACTTGATCGATACGATTCACACTTGGCACGTGGGTTAAGACATGAAGACAATGCAATATGAAATTAAATTTGAATTAATTGGATGCCTAATTAATTTTTTATGAATTAATTAAAATTTGGACCGAATCAATAGGCATGTCTATCCAACCACACCACACGCGTCATCACCTTCAATAGCTGCTCCATCACCTTCAGTAGGCGCGCCATCACATTCAGTAGGCGCGCAATAGTTTTTAGTCATGTAACTCTATTGTTAATAAAACATGTAAAGTACTGAAAAAAAATTCATAAAAAAACGTTTTAATAACAAGCTTTTATGTAATAGTGCACTAAAAAGTAGAAAATAAATTATAGACTACTATTTAAATAACTAGAAAGAAAAGCGTGGGTGTCTTCCTTAACATTAGTAAAGGTATCCAATAGATACTAAAGTGACCCACGCTTTTCTTTATAGTTATTTAAATAGTAGTCTATAATTTATTTTCTACTTTTAGTGCACTATTACATAAAAGCTTGTTATTAAAACGTTTTTTTATGAATTTTTTTGACTATATAAACAAAACACTAACTTCAGACAATGCAATAGATACATTACACGCGATATAGTTTCAACAAATGTGCGCTAAATGTTTTTTTAAAATTCTGCACGTGTTTGCACCAAGACACTGCGTTCAATACAACATAAACAAGAGCCAACTCAAGTCTTAGAGCAGGGTACTGTTGTGGTCAGACATCTTAGAGCAGGGTACTGTTGTGGTCAGGCATCTTGTAGCAGGGTACTGTTGTGGTCACGGAGATGGTTGAAGACAAGTGGATGAGATGGTACTAGTCCGAGTTTTGTTGACATTTCTTGGTTGCTGGTCCGTAGCAGCACAGGGTGAGTGGTTCACTAGAGCATATTGTACTGACTGTAAAGATGACATAGTGTTATGTCAGGAACTTAATTTAGATTCAACTGAGTTTGCAAATCTCATATCAGATATACACAGCATTGTCTTCTATAGTGGACAAGCCGTCAGTACCCGTTACACGTGAATTATAGGCCTATATATTTTATTGTTCTACTTGTTTAAAAAAATTATAAAAAAGGTATTGGTCAAAACTTATATCGCTATGTACTTTACTATACGTTGAACGATATTAGCGACAAAGCAGATAAATAACTAAATAGCTAAAAACTTCCGACACATAAAATAACATAGACTACCAATACCTATTAGAGAAATATCATTTGTCAACACAACACCATATTAAATGCACACACTGATTAAGTGGCTTAAAATTTAAAGACAAATGATTTTTTTTAAAAACCTGGCTGTTCAATGGTAGTTATGTTGTTTTTGTCAGAGGCGTAGCTAGGGGAGGGAGCGTGGGGCGGCCGCCCCGCTCGCCGACAACAAAGGGCGCAAAATCGGCTAGAAAAAGAAAATAACAAGCTTATTCCGAGCTGCATTACACTCAAATGTAAGAAAATAGAAACTACTTGGTTCTACGGACGGCTTTCTACAAACTACTTGTGTGATACGGAAAAAAAACCAATTAACGGTGACTGATGTGTGTGTGTGGTGGTGGGGGGGGGGTCCTTTTTCACTAAACGTGATTTAAGATGTAAATATGGGGGGGGGGGGGGGCAAAAATAATGATAGTTCACCCGGGGCGCCGAAATGGGTTGCTACGCCTCTGATTTTTGTCTTTGAAAAAACGCCAATTTCGACTGAGCATGGGTCTGACTACACTATCCCTTTATATACTAATTTGACAGTAAACGGTGAACTCTACTTAACCTGCCCGATGTCCTGCCAAGCCCCGTTACGCAACTTTAACATTCACATCTAAAAGAAATTGAAAAAAAAAATTAATCATTGACATGGTGTGTCTCCAACCCGTACCACCCGCATGGTAACTATTACACTATCAACTCAGTTATTTAGGCACTACAGCGTAGGAGCATAATAAGTGCGGTACTTTACTTAGATTTAGAGTCAGCGTCGATTACTTCAATTGGAATCTTATTAAAAAATTAGCCAATTCCATAGCTAAACAAAGATTTATATAAAATAATTAATGTCTGAAATAGTTTAGTATAGAAACTCATTATTGGAATAGATTCTAGATCAAGATAGACGTAGAGTCTAGACCTAGAATCTACGGCTGGTTTAACTCTCGTTTTTTTTCTGTAGCTCTAGAATGCTCTAGATCTAGATCTTAATCTAGAATGTAAATAGATAATGTAAATTTTATAACTTTAGGCCGGGAAATTGTATACATTTCATAGCGTAGATCTAAATCAAATTGAATCAAATATTTCATTTCTTTATATTCTAAAATTGGAAGATGACGCCATTAATTTTGTGTTCTTTCCTTCGTTTAAACATGTGGCTCGTGACATCATTGTTTATTGCGTTCTTGTCACGACAATAAACACTTTAGTTAGAAATCTGTTTTTACATTCGAATACACTTTTATTTTTGTTTTCCTGTTTTAAATAAAATTTAGTTTAAACATGTATAACATCCACCACATTATTTTTAACAAAAGACCGTATCTTTAAGTTCTCCATATATCGCTGAACATAGTGATAACATTGTCAAAAATTATTGCGGACAGAGTGAAAGAAGTGTGCGCATGGACTTTTATATATTAGGATCGCAAGCTACCTATCGGGTTTTAAAGCAAATGTTTTAATCATATGTGGAGTCAACTTACTAAAAAAGGAAACAAAGCAAGTATAAAATATTTTTAAAAAATAAGCTTTCAATTACATTGAAAATTTAAAAAAAAATAAAAATTAATTTATTTTACTTAATAAAACCATTTATGGCTCTTGAAGTGTATTTTTTTTCTTATCACATTTTTAGTGTTTACAGCCTATTATTATAAAGGTTTTTTATTTGTTTTTTAATGGTGTCTATAGTAAATGAGTGAAGGCGGATGAATGGGGGTAAATGTTGTTTATTCTTTGTACCCTGTCCCTATCGTCCTTGTTCAGTTCTGTTGTGTTGAGTTTAGTCAGTCACGTCATATTCCGGCTTGTATCTGTTTATGTACGTGTATATAAGGTGTGTGAGAACGTGGGTGATTGTATCAGTTTAGTCCAGTTCTTCTACAAGGTTTGTGTACGTTAGTTCTGGGTACTTTTAGACTGCAGATGTATCTTTGTTTGTGTACTAGTTTATATAATATATCTAAAACAACCTGTGTTATTTAGATAGTGTATTTAGTATTTAACTCTTTAAGTGTTAACGAGCCTTTGTTTTAATCAGTCTTGTTATCTAACCCGTTTGTGGATTTTCATCGTATATGTTGCGCTACGCACTGGATCACTTATTTAAGCGTGTCCGTGTGTTTATAACATTACCATTCAATCAAAGGTACTCTACTCCTTCCGTATTAAATATTAATTCATTTGGCCAGTTGTTGTTGTTTCACATGAAAGTATAATGCCCTAAAAAATTTAAATCGTGATGCTGAGCATTCTTTTAAAGTCAGTGAAACGAATCCTTTTGGTATTTATCGTGTCATATTTGGGTACCCTCGATTCAGTGGTACCAATATATCTATTAAAACACCTAAACTTAGGCCATTATTATTCAGGATAATACAACCATAATAAAAGATTTGTTTACAGTTTCCTTATCTTACCTGACAGATCCGAGCAGAGAAATAGTCCATCCAAGTGTAGTTAATGCTGGTGGGGACTACACCGTGTCGTGTAACTCTGATCTGGCTGGAGTGCCAGGCAAGGGACAGAACCTAGGCTTGATAGCTATGTGTATCGGATGGACGAATGGAATAGGCGAAATGGAATGTTTTGCAAGATACAGGGCCATCGACAGATCAATTTATATTGTAAGTTTCGGTTAAATGCATAGACAAACTAACGATTTATTGGGGGGGGGGGGGGGGATTTGGCTGTAGGAACAAGGGGAGTTGTTTGAGCCTGTTGGAATGCCTCCATCATAATCCATCCACTCCCAATTTTCAATAACGAGAACGAGGCTGGGATTTGGAGCCGGCTAGATCACAGGATGCCCACAAGTCAATGTTAGTAGCTATAGCAAGAGAGGTCTGCAATGTTGAGATAATTAAACAAGATATAACGGTCGTTTCCCCCGTAAAAATTTGTTGACGTGTATCATGAGACTTTGCACCCAGCCAGACGATTAGAAATAAATGAAAGTGTACACTTTTTACTTTTCGTATATACGAAGTATAGAGAAAGTCTTGTAATCGTGCAAAAAAAAACGCGATTTGTACAAATCTCGACGTTTTACACCTCACTGATACGGAAAATCATAATTTTGCAATCTTGTCCGTATGTCTGTCTGTGTGTGTGTGTGTTTGTGTGTGTGTGTGTCTGTGTGTGTGTGTGTGTGTGTGTGTGTAAACTCGATAACTTGAGTACCGTTACAGCTAGGTTGATGAAATTTCATATATAAGTATTTTATCAAAATTGTAGATCCGTATCAACTTTTGAGCAATTTCCGATAACCGCAAGTTGTACTTTTTCTACTTTGAATTTTTCAAAAGCCTATAACTTGAGTACTATTTCAGATAGATCAATGAAATTTCACTTGTAAGTAAAAGATCTAATTCTCTACCTTCTTTCAAATTTTGAGTAATTTCCGTTGACCGGAAGTACTAATTTACGCTATTTCCGATTTCTCAAAAAACGCAAATAAATTTATAAAGTACTAATAATATTCCGCAGTATTATGCATATTTTATTTTGGCATTCGCTTGGTGCGCAATTCTTTTTTCTACGAGATTCTATTCTATTTTTAAAAGTTTAAGTAATTAAAAATCATGTCTCTATTCCGAGTTGCCATCCCACGTAGATTTATATAAGAATATTCGAGAAAGTTTTGTGGAGATCACTCCCGGTTTATTTGATGCCTTCATTTCTCATGTAGCGAAAAGAATCCAACACAGCTCCTTCTTCTGTGAGGCTCTGGAATTCTAAAGTAAAAGGTCCGGAAAAATATGATCACCGTGGTGTACCTGATAGAGATTCAGTCAATATCACAATGACGGCGACAAAGGTCAAACGACAAGAGTCTGGTATCTTTTGTTGTAACGCTTCTTACCAAGATTTGAATGACGATACTCGATTTATATCTAGATGCCAGACGATAACTGGTAAGTTATGTTTCCAGTTTGTCACAAGGTAGAATAAAAATACCAGTCTCATTTATCTACTTCAAAATTCTTTTAGTAAGGGCTAGGCTAAAGAAATTTTGTGAAAGTATTTGCCAAATTTGACGATATCTTTTTTAGGGGCCAGGACAATCTATCCAAAATTTGATGTCTTGGGGATAGGGTCAGTGCATTTGACGGTGTATCTGCTAGTACATGTTCATGGGTACATTGACCCAGGGGGCACATATTCATGGGTACATTAATCTCTTCCCGAATATTAAGCTCCAATTTTAAGCTCAATGGCAATGACGCACTCGTTCAGCATTAAATTCATCCAAGTGGAATTTTTGATTTTCAAACTGTCAAAAGCTTTTTCGAAGTCTACAATCGCCAGGTTATGGGGAGATGGCCATTCTAAGGAATGTTTTGTGATGTGGCCTGTGCTGGATCTGTCTTATCTAAAACCAGCAGATCTCGACGACGTTGTCGTAAAAATAATCGCTCAGTCTCTACAGGAAAATTCTTTTCTGAGGACTAAAAGATGAGAGAAGCTTTATCCATCTCCAGTTGCTGTATTTTGACAGGTCTATTTTTGGTCGCTTTACAAGCTGGCCCGGTTTCCAGTAAGATTGGACAACATTCTCATTTTTACATGTCTGTTCTGGTAACGTTGAAGTCTACACATATGGCTAGTTCTGATAAACATTAAATACCGTCTGGACCAGCTGTTGAGCTTGTTTCCCTACACTTTATTGCTTTTACTATTTGCCGTAGTAATTAAAGCACTCGACTTCAACTTACCCATGTAGTCTTAGACATGAAGGGCAAAGATGATAATGCTTCATCGTTATGAAAGTCATTTACCGCTCATGAAATCTCTCCTTGACAGTCGATCAATGGTTTATCAAATTTGTTTTATTTCCTTACTTTCAAAAAATTTAAAAGCTGCATCATTACAAAGCTAGTATTATTTGTTTTATTATAATCTATCTTTTTCTTTTTTTGTTCGTTTGTTGGGTTAATGCGAATATTTTTTTTCACAGACAAAGAAAGGCGTTCGAAGATTTCACTGGGTTTTATATCAGATATCTTTAATCTAATTTGAACGAAATAATAAACGTAAAAAAAATCTTTTTACAAGCTTTTATTTAACTCACTTCCTCGTCAGTTTGTCGTCAGTCATCAGTCTGTCTAGATCGAAACGCTCGAGCGAAAATTCGGACACTTCGAACTGACAAATTTGGTTCACAGTTGGCACGAGTGACAAGACAATGCAATCTGAAATTAAATTTGACTTAATCGGATGACTAATTAAATTTTTATGAATTAATTAAAATTTTGACCAAATTTGTAGGCATGTCTATCCAACCACACCACACGCGTCATCACGTTCAATAGGCGCGCAAAGGTTTTTAGTCATGAAACTCTATTGTAAATATAAACATGTAAAGTACAAAAAAAAACTTCCTAAAAATCGTTTTAATAACAAGCTTTTATGTACTAATGCACTAAAAAGAAGAAAATAAATTATAGACTACTATTTAAATAACTGTAAAGAAAAGCGTGGGTCTCTTCCTAAACATTAGTAAAGGTATCCAATAGATACTAAAGTGACTCACACTTTTCTTTAAAGTTATTTAAATAGTAGTCTAAAATTGATTTTCTACTTTTAGTGCATTAGTACACAAAAGCTTGTTATTAAAACGATTTTTAGGAAGTTTTTTTTAAAAATATGTTTTGGAATGCTCAGAAATAGTTTAAACAATTTATTAGTAAAATAAAATTTTAAGTTCTTCTTTAAACCCCCATTGCTTTTAAATGCTTAAAATTATAATTTTAAAAATAAATAAATTTGTCAATTTCTCCCGCTAGTTTTGTCCCTGGATACATTGACTCTGGACCATCACTGCACCAAGACGTTGCCTGAGTACCGTAGAGGTCACATCCAGAAACTAAGTGAACTAAACGTTGTCAGTTTCTGCAGGTAAACCCTGTCCACACATTCTGCAGGTAAAACCTGTCTACACATCCTGCATGTAAAAACCGTCCACACATCCTGCAGGTAAACCCTGTCCACACATCCTGCAGGTAAACCCTGTCCACACATCCTGCAGGTAAAAACCGTCCACACATCCTGCCAGTACAACCTGTCCATACATTCTATACTTACATCCAGACCTTACTTTTTTGCAACTAGACCTAATGACAGACCTCCCCCATATTCCCCACCCTCCACCCCCACCCTTCAGTAATCCAAAGACCTATAGTCAGTGTATCCTGGATTCAAGACGTGATAGTCACACAGATCAGACATACATGGTCAAATTGTTCGAGAAACAATTTCCTAAAGAGTACGATCTTAAGCGTGCGGCATATCTGCTGTGTACCAAAGGGACAACATACTGTAAGTAGACAAAAGTTGTTAGTAGACTAAAGTTGTTAGTAGACAAAGTTGTAAATGTTCTAAGTAGATTAATGTTATAAGTAGAAAAATGCAGTAGATAAAAGATGTAAGTAGACAATTGTTAGTAAGCAGTATAAGTAGATTAAACTTGTAAGTTGATAAATATTATAATTATAAAAATATTGCACGTAGACATCTGTTGTATGTATGTGACTAGCAAGCAGATTTAAGCAGACAAAATCTGTAAGTAGTTATTTGTTTATGTTCGCAAGTAGACAAAGGTTTTAAACACATCTTAACATCTTACACTGACATTGACGCCTACGGTGTTGTGTGGCTGGTGATACACTGTAAACATTTTTGTATTTGATTGTTTAGTTCTTGCTCTCATATGAGGCGAGATTCTAAAGTAACCATAACCCTAACACTTACTCATCATAAAAAAAAAATTAAACAAAATTAAAGTTAAGTAAATGGTAGATACAAAATCTTAACACAAGCTCACATTAAAGTGTACAATCTTATGTTTTAAGATGTCATGTCATGGCTCAGTGTTACAAGATGTCATGTCATGGCTCAGTGTTACAAGATGTCATGTCATGGCTCAGTGTTACAAGATGTCATGTCGTGGGTGGGTCAGTGTTCCAAAGATGTCATGTCATGGGTCAGTGTTACAAGATGTCATATCATAGGTCAGTGTTACAAGATGTCATGTCATGGCTCAGTGTTACAAGATGTCATGTCATGGGTCAGTGTTACAAGATGTCATGTCATGGTTCAGTGTTACAAGATGTCACGTAATTGACAACTACTCAACACGTGTCTTGTAGAAATATTTAAAGTGTGCACACAAGTGACCAGTGTTGCCAGATGTCATTACTTTATGCAGTGTCAAAGTTCGCTTCGTTTGACTACAAAGTTTTAATTGACTGCGAGATGTCAGCCGACAGTGACCAATGCGAGATCGAAGCCACCTCGGCCGAGAGATTACAAAGCTTAACGGCAGCCTTTGCCTCCAACAACCAAGCGGATATCGAGAGACATTCATGCAAGTGGGTTCAATCTTTTAGTTTCTTTACATTACTATCACTTTCTATGATATTTTTATACTAATATTTTGTTCCTTGAATATGGTTTCATAAGTAGGTAACACTTGCAATTTTTAAAAGTTATATCTAGAGCGTGTATTTAAGCAATACGTTTACGAAATAGGTTATTATCTGGAAGGGTGACAGGACAAATGATCTCAGACAAAATATCTCAGACAAAATATCTCAGACAAAATATCTCACGGACAAATGATCTCAGGACAAATTATTTCAGGACAAATTATCTCAAGGACAAATGATCTCACGGACTAAAGATACCAGAACAAAATATATCAGGACTAATGATACCAGGGACAATGGATCTCAAACAAAATATCTCCGATAAAATATCTCACAGCAAAATTTGGATAGTGCATTGGATGATTTTAGTTGATCTGAACAACTTTTTTATTGACTGTCATATGGTTTTGTTTAATATGTTTAGTATTGTTTATAGGCCTACATAATAATTGTAAGAAATGCTTGCTGTATAAATTTGTAATATTGTACTAAACATTTTAAAATTAAGACTGCTAATATAGTATGCGAAGATTAAAGAATTTTTTTTCAATAGAAAGCGTTGGTGGTCTTGACAAACATGAGACAATTCAACCACGTCAGGTGGACGAAATTAGCTCAAAAGGAATGAAATAACAATAAAGACACACCTTCGTATCAAGGTGGGCGCCCTCTTCGATGGCAGAGACATGTCTTATGGGAAAGACATCCGCCCTCCATGGACAAAATAAATAGCATCTAAATTCCATTGTTATGTGTCGGTCACACCTTAGTGATCATGTGACAAATGCTTATTTAAACGACAGCGGTCATCGCGTAACTAAGTTTGTCGCAGTGTGTATGCAAGCACAGCGGTATTAGTGGTGATTACTCAGCTGTGGCCTCATACGTTACCTAGCAGAGAAGTTTTAGGGCATAAGTTTCTTGTGAATTTCTGGTTATAAAAGCCATAAGTGGAGCAGCAGGCAAAGAGATTTGGAAATGTGAAGTTAGAACATGTAAAGTAAGAGTTCATACAATACATGATCACACAGGATTGGAGAGGTGTGATCATAACGATGTACCTGCCAGCAAAGAAACGTAAACGTTTGTGTTGATGATGCAATAAAAACAATAGTTTTACGTTACGAACCTGAAGACCAATTCACATTATTGAAAAATATTTCGCGTGTTTTAAACATTAATGTTATTGTATTTGTTCTATACATTATCATTTTTTATACCATTCATGCTAAAGGAGTAAGTTTGTTTCAATTTTTTATTTTTCAAAATCGAATATTATTACAAAGGTTAGTTTAATAAATCTTTTGATGCTTTGTTAAGTTCAACAAATTCATTTAATTCAAAATTATGATACGTTAAAAAGTAAACAAAACCATATTAACAGTCTATAAAAAAAAGTTCAAATGAACTATAATCAAGGTACATACTGTTACAATTTTGCTGTGAGGTGTTTTGTCTGGGATATTTTGTCTGAGATCGATCGTCCATGATATCATTTGTCCTGATATATTTTGTCCTGATATATATTTTGTCCATGAGATCATTTGTCCTTACGATCTTTTGTCCTGAGAACATTTCTCATAAATTGGCGCGGTTATCTCTATATGTGTTGATTTACTTAGCATACTTTGCAACTTATTTTGGAAATAACAAGTACGTAATTAATTGCAAGTAATGTTGACTTATTTTAGACAATATTCTTAGAGAAACAAAAATTCATTAAGTTACCCAGACTGTCAATAGACTACATGTGTGTATCCAAGCCCAGTACACCAAACGGAACCAAACCTCTAACATGTTCCCTGCTTCTGTTCCCCAGACTGTCAATAGACTACATAAAGTGTAGTCTTGCCCAGTACACCAAATGTAACCAAACCTCTAACATGTTCCCTGTTTCTGTTCCCCAGACTGTCACTAGACTACATGAAGTGTATCCAAGCCCAGAACACCAAATGTAACCAAACCTCTAACATGTTCCCTGTTTCTGTTCCCCAGACTGTAACTAGACTACATGAAGTGTATCCAAGCCCAGTACACCAAATGAAACCAAACCTCTAACATGCTCCCTGTTTCTGTTCCCCAGACTATCACTAGACTACATGAAGTGTATCCAAGCCCAGTACACGAAATGTAATAAGGATTTTGAGGACTTTTTTACTTATCAGTTTGCTCGCCTTGGCCCGTAAGTTACATCAATTACCTGTGGCTGTTTTTTTTTCGCTAAATATCGTAATTTACGATATGTTATTGAGGGAGATTTCAAACGTTTTCCTGAAAAACAAATATGGTTGCCAGGTGTCCAGTTTCGAACTGGACAGTCCAGTATTTGAGCAGACTGTCCAGGATAAAATAAATATAAATACTGGACAAGTATATGAATAAAACTCTGTTACCCCCTTCTTCAGCTTTGCGGCATACCTGAGAAGGGAAGGATGTAAAGGTGTCCAGTATTTTTGGAAAAGGTATCTGGCAACCCTAAAAACAAATTTTCTCTACTTGACAAATTATCTCATGTTTTTATCTTGACTTATCTCAGCGTCCAATTTTTGTATCTTGACTTACCTCAGCGTCCAATGTTTGTATCTTGACTTACCCCAGCGTCCAAACTTTGTATCTTGACTTACCCCAGCGTCCAATGTTTGTATCTTGACTTACACAAACGTCCAATGTTTGTATCTTGACTTACACAATCGTCCAAACTTTGTATCTTGACTTACCTCAGCGTCCAATGTTTGTATCTTGACTTACCCCAGCGTCCAATGTTTGTATCTTGACTTACACAATCGTCCAATGTTTGTATCTTGACTTACACAAACGTCCAATGTTTGTATCTTGACTTACACAATCGTCCAAACTTTGTATCTTGACTTAGCCAAGCGTCCAATGTTCGTATCTTGACTTACCCATGCGTACAATTTTTATATCTTGACTTGTTTCAGCGTCCAATGTTTGTATCTTAACTTACCTCAGCGTCCAATGTTTGTATCTTGACTTACCCCAGCGTCCAATGTTTGTATCTTGACTTACCCCAGCGTCTCGACTTGACCAGATTCTAACGGTTTGTTTCTCAGAGACTGTCTATTGGAGCACCAGTTTTATAACAAGTTGATTCTCACGGACAAGTGCACGTCACATTCACGCACAACCAACGGGGCGTCGTTAGTCGGAACAGGGGCGTGGTCTATCAGGACAAGGGCGTGGCTGATGTTTGCTGTAGCCTTTGTTAATAGTGTAGGGCGTGTCCATATGCTCAGATAAAATCTGACTTGTTTAGTTCTTGGCTATCTTCTGTAGCTGGGTGCAACAAAATAAGTTTAGAAAATGTTTTTATTTTTAAGTATTATCTAGGAAAACATTAAAAAGTTATTTCTGCATAGAAAAAAAAACACGTTTTTCTTTGTTTCTTTGGAGATTCCGCGCTTATATTAAACAAAGATTGAATGAATAATTTTTTTTTTTGCATAGACAAAACGTCAGCGGTACATTTTTGAGTCACTTGTCACTATTTTACAAGCTTTTATTTAACTCACTTCCTCGTCAGTCTGTCGTCAGTCTGTCTAGACCGAAACGCTGGAGTGAAAATTCGGAAACTTCTACTTGATCGATACGATTCACACTTGGCACGTGGGTTAAGACATGAAGACAATGCAATATGAAATTAAATTTGAATTAATTGGATGCCTAATTAATTTTTTATGAATTAATTAAAATTTGGACCGAATCAATAGGCATGTCTATCCAACCACACCACACGCGTCATCACGTTCAATAGCTGCTCCATCACCTTCAGTAGGCGCGCCATCACATTCAGTAGGCGCGCAATAGTTTTTAGTCATGTAACTCTATTGTTAATAAAACATGTAAAGTACTGAAAAAAAATTCATAAAAAAACGTTTTAATAACAAGCTTTTATGTAATAGTGCACTAAAAAGTAGAAAATAAATTATAGACTACTATTTAAATAACTAGAAAGAAAAGCGTGGGTGTCTTCCTTAACATTAGTAAAGGTATCCAATAGATACTAAAGTGACCCACGCTTTTCTTTATAGTTATTTAAATAGTAGTCTATAATTTATTTTCTACTTTTAGTGCACTATTACATAAAAGCTTGTTATTAAAACGTTTTTTTATGAATTTTTTTGACTATATAAACAAAACACTAACTTCAGACAATGCAATAGATACATTACACGCGATATAGTTTCAACAAATGTGCGCTAAATATTTTTTTAAAATTCTGCACGTGTTTGCACCAAGACACTGCGTTCAATACAACATAAACAAGAGCCAACTCAAGTCTTAGAGCAGGGTACTGTTGTGGTCAGACATCTTAGAGCAGGGTACTGTTGTGGTCAGGCATCTTGTAGCAGGGTACTGTTGTGGTCACGGAGATGGTTGAAGACAAGTGGATGAGATGGTTCTAGTCCGAGTTTTGTTGACATTTCTTGGTTGCTGGTCCGTAGCAGCACAGGGTGAGTGGTTCACTAGAGCATATTGTACTGACTGTAAAGATGACATAGTGTCATGTCAGGAACTTAATTTAGATTCAACTGAGTTTGCAAATCTCATATCAGATATACACAGCATTGTCTTCTATAGTGGACAAGCCGTCAGTACCCGTTACACGTGAATTATAGGCCTATATATTTTATTGTTCTACTTGTTTAAAAAATTTTTTTAAAAAGGTATTGGTCAAAACTTATAACGCTATGTACTTTACTACACGTTGAACGATATTAGCGACAAAGCAGATAAATAACTAAATAGCTAAAAACTTCCGACACATAAAATAACATAGACTACCAATACCTATTAGAGAAATATCATTTGTCAACACAACACCATATTAAATGCACACACTGATTGAGTGGCTTAAAATTTAAAGACAAATGATTTTTTTTAAAAACCTGGCTGTTCAATGGTAGTTATGTTGTTTTTGTCAGAGGAGTAGCTAGGGGAGGGAGCGTGGGGCGGCCGCCCCGCTCGCCGACAACAAAGGGCGCAAAATCGGCTAGAAAAATAAAATAACAAGCTTATTCCGAGCTGCATTACACTCAAATTTAAGAAAATAGAAACTACTTGGTTCTACGGACGGCTTTCTACAAACTACTTGTGTGATACGGAAAAAAAACCAATTAACGGTGACTGATGTGTGTGTGCGGTGGTGGGGGGGGGTCCTTTTTCACTAAACGTGATTTAAGATGTAAATATGGGGGGGGGGGGCAATATTGATAGTTCACCCGGGGCGCCGAAATGGGTTGCTACGCCTCTGATTTTTGTCTTTGAAAAAACGCCAATTTCGACTGAGCATGGGTCTGACTACACTATCCCTTTATATACTAATTTGACAGTAAAAGGTGAACTCTACTTAACCTGCCCGATGTCCTGCCAAGCCCCGTTACGCAACTTTAACATTCACATCTAAAAGAAATTGAAAAAAAAAATTAATCATTGACATGGTGTGTCTCCAACCCGTACCACCCGCATGGTAACTATTACACTATCAACTCAGTTATTTAGGCACTACAGCGTAGGAGCATAATAAGTGCGGTACTTTACTTAGATTTAGAGTCAGCGTCGACTACTTCAATTGGAATCTTATTAAAAAATTAGCCAATTCCATAGCTAAACAAAGATTTATATAAAATAATTAATGTCTGAAATAGTTTAGTATAGAAACTTATTATTGGAATAGATTCTAGATCAAGATAGACGTAGAGTCTAGACCTAGAATCTACGGCTGGTTTAACTCTCGTTTTTTTTCTGTAGCTCTAGAATGCTCTAGATCTAGATCTTAATCTAGAATGTAAATAGATAATGTAAATTTTATAACTTTAGGCCGGGAAATTGTATACATTTCATAGCGTAGATCTAAATCAAATTGAATCAAATATTTCATTTCTTTATATTCTAAAATTGGAAGATGACGCCATTAATTTTGTGTTCTTTTCTTCGTTTAAACATGTGGCTCGTGACATCATTGTTTATTGCGTTCTTGTCACGACAATAAACACTTTAGTTAGAAATCTGTTTTTACATTCGAATACACTTTTATTTTTGTTTTCCTGTTTTAAATAAAATTTAGTTTAAACATGTATAACATCCACCACATTATTTTTAACAAAAGACCGTATCTTTAAGTTCTCCATATATCGCTGAACATAGTGATAACATTGTCAAAAATTATTGCGGACAGAGTGAAAGAAGTGTGCGCATGGACTTTTATATATTAGGATCGCAAGCTACCTATCGGGTTTTAAAGCAAATGTTTTAATCATATGTGGAGTCAACTTACTAAAAAAGGAAACAAAGCAAGTATAAAATATTTTTAAAAAATAAGCTTTCAATTACATTGAAAATTTAAAAAAAAATAAAAATTAATTTATTTTACTTAATAAAACCATTTATGGCTCTTGAAGTGTATTTTATTTCTTATCACATTTTTAGTGTTTACAGCCTATTATTATAAAGGTTTTTTATTTGTTTTTTAATGGTATCTGTAGTGAATGAGTGAAGGCGGATGAATGGGGGTAAATGTTGTTTATTCTTTGTACCCTGTCCCTATCGTCCTTGTTCAGTTCTGTTGTGTTGAGTTTAGTCAGTCACGTCATATACCGGCTTGTATCGGTTTATGTACGTGTATATAAGGTGTGTGAGAACGTGGGTGATTGTATCAGTTTCGTCCAGTTCTTCTACAAGGTTTGTGTACGTTAGTTCTGGGTACTTTTAGACTGCAGATGTATCTTTGTTTGTGTACTAGTTTATATAATATATCTAAAACAACCTGTGTTATTTAGATAGTGTATTTAGTATTTAACTCTTTAAGTGTTAACGAGCCTTTGTTTTAATCAGTCTTGTTATCTAACCAGTTTGTGGATTTTCATCGTATATGTTGCGCTACGCACTGTATCACTTATTTAAGCGTGTCCGTGTGTTTATAACATTACCATTCAATCAAAGGTACTCTACTCCTTCCGTATTAAATATTAATTCATTTGGCCAGTTGTTGTTGTTTCACATGAAAGTATAATGCCCTAAAAAAATTCAAATCGTGATGCTGAGCATTCTTTTAAAGTCAGTGAAACGAATCCTTTTGGTATTTATCGTGTCATATCTGGGTACCCTCGATTCAGTGGTACCAATATATCTATTAAAACACCTTAACTTAGGCCATTATTATTCAGGATAATACAACCATAATAAAAGATTTGTTTACAGTTTCCTTATCTTACCTGACAGATCCGAGCAGAGAAATAGTCCATCCAAGTGTTGTTAATGCTGGTGGGGACTACACCGTGTCGTGTAACTCTGATCTGGCTGGAGTGCCAGGCAAGGGACAGAACCTAGGCTTGATAGCTATGTGTATCGGATGGACGAATGGAATAGACGAAATGGAATGTTTTGCAAGATACAGGGCCATCGACAGATCAATTTATATTGTAAGTTTCGGTTAAATGCATAGACAAACTAACGATTTATTGGGGGGGGGGGATTTGGCTGTAGGAACAAGGGGAGTTGTTTGAGCCTGTTGGAATGCCTCCATCATAATCCATCCACTCCCAATTTTCAATAACGAGAACGAGGCTGGGATTTGGAGCCGGCTAGATCACAGGATGCCCACAAGTCAATGTTAGTAGCTATAGCAAGAGAGGTCTGCAATGTTGAGATAATTAAACAAGATATAACGGTCGTTTACCCCGTAAAAAAATTGTTGACGTGTATCATGAGACTTTGCACCCAGCTAGACGATTAGAAATAAATGAACGTGTGCACTTTTTACTTTCTCGTATATACGAAGTATCGAGAAACTCTTGTAATCGTGCAGAAAAATCGAGATTTTTACAAATCTCGACGTTTTACACCTCACTGATACGGAAAAACATAATTTTGCAATCGTGTCCGTATGTCTGTGTGTGTGTGTGAGTGTGTGTGTGTGTGCGTGTGTGTGTGTGTGTGTGTGTAAACACAATAACTTGAGTACCGTTACAGCTAGGTTGATGAAATTTCATATATAAGTATTTTATCAAAATTGTAGATCCGTATCAATTTTTGAGCGATTTCCGATAACCGCAAGTGGTATTTTTTCTACTTTGAATTTTTCAAAAGCCTATAACTTGAGTACTATTTCCGATAGATAAATGAAATTTCACATGTTAGTAAAAGATCTAATTCTCTACCTTCTGTCACATTTTGAGTAATTTCCGTTGACCGGAAGTATTAATTTACGCTATTTCCTATTTCTCAAAAATGGAAAATAAATTTATAAAGTGCTAATAATATTCCGCAGTATTATGCATTTTTTATTTTGGCGTTCTCTTGGTGCTCAATTCTTTTTTTCTACGAGATTCTATTCTATTTTTAAAAGTTTAAGTAATTAAAAATCATGTCTATATTCCGAGTTGCCATCCCACGTAGATTTATATAAGAATATTCGAGAAAGTTTAGTGGAGATCACTCCCGGTTTATTTGATGCCTTCATTTCTCATGTAGCGAAAAGAATCCAACACAGCTCCTTCTTCTATGAGGCTCTGGAATTCTAAAGTAAAAGGTCCGGAAAAATATGATTACCGTGGTGTACCTGATAGAGATTCAGTCAATATCACAATGACGGCGACAAAGGTCAAACGACAAGAGTCTGGTATCTTTTGTTGTAACGCTTCTTACCAAGATTTGAATGACGATACTCGATTTATATCTAGATGCCAGACGATAACTGGTAAGTTATGTTTCCAGTTTGTCACAAGGTGGAATAAAAATACCAGTCTCATTTATCTACTTCAAAATTCTTTTAGTAAGGGCTAGACTAAAGAAATTTTGTGAAAGTATTTGCCAAATTTGACGATATCTTTTCTAGGGGGCAGGACAATCTATCCAAAATTTGATGTCTTTGTGATAGGGTCAGTGCATTTGACGGTGTATCTGCTAGTACATGTTCATGGGTACATTGACCCAGGGGGCATATGTTCATGGGTACATTAATCTCTTTCCGAATATTAAGCTCCAATTTTAAGCTCAATGGCAATGACGCACTCGTTCAGCATTAAATTCATCCAGGTGGAATTTTTTATTCAAACTGTCAAAAGCTTTTCCGAAGTCTACTATCGCCAGGTTATGGGGAGATGGCCATTCTAGGGAATGTTCAGTGATGTGGCCTGTGCTGGATCTGTCTTATCTAAAACCAGCAGATCTCGACGACGTTGTCGTAAAAATAATCGCTCAGTCTCTACAGGAAAATTCTTTTCTGAGGACTAAAAGATGAGAGAAGCTTTATCCATCTCCAGTTGCTGTATTTTGACAGGTCTATTTTTGGTCGCTTTACAAACTGGCCCGGTTTCCAGTAAGATTGGACAAAATTCTCATTTTTACATGACTGTTCTGGTAACGTTGAAGTCTACACATATGGCTAGTTCTGATAAACATTAAATACCGTCTGGACCAGCTGTTGAGCTTGTTTCCCTACACTTTATTGCTTTTACTATTTGCCGTAGTAATTAAAGCACTCGACTTCAACTTACCCATGTAGTCTTAGACATGAAGGGCAAAGATGATAATGCTTCATCGTTATGAAAGTCATTTATCGCTCATGAAATCTCTCATTGACAGTCGATCAATGGTTTATCAAATTTGTTTTATTTCCTTACTTTCAAAAAATTTAAAAGCTGCATCATTACAAAGCTAGTATTATTTGTTTTATTATAGTCTATCTTTTTCTTTTTTTGTTCGTTTGTTGGGTTAATGCGAATATTTTTTTTTCACAGACAAAGAAAGGCGTTCGAAGATTTCACTGGGTTTTATATCAGATAACTTTAATCTAATTTGAACGATATAATAAAACGTAAAAAAAATCTTTTTACAAGCTTTTATTTAACTCACTTCCTCGTCAGTTTGTCGTCAGTCATCAGTCTGTCTAGATCGAAACGCTCGAGCGAAAATTCGGACACTTCGAACTGACAAATTTGGTTCACAGTTGGCCCGAGTGACAAGACAATGCAATCTGAAATTAAATTTGACTTAATTGGATGACTAATTAAATTTTAATGAATTAATTAAAATTTTGACCAAATTTGTAGGCATGTCTATCCAACCACACCACACGCGTCATCACGTTCAATAGGCGCGTAAAGGTTTTTAGTCATGAAACTCTATTGTAAATATAAACATGTAAAGTACAAAAAAAAACTACCTAAAAATCGTTTTAATAAAAAGCTTTTATGTACTAATGCACTAAAAAGTAGAAAATAAATTATAGACTACTATTTAAATAACTAGAAAGAAAAGCGTGGGTCTCTTCCTAAACATTAGTAAAGGTATCCAATAGATACTAAAGTGACTCACACTGTTCTTTAAAGTTATTTAAATAGTAGTCTAAAATTGATTTTCTACTTTTTAGTGCATTAGTACACAAAAGCTTGTTATTAAAACGATTTTTAGGAAGTGTTTTTTTTTTAAATATGTTTTGGAATGCTAAGAAATAGTTTAAACAATTTAACTCGCTTTATTTAGTAAAATAAAATTTTAAGTTCTTCTTTAAACCCCCATTGCTTTTAAATGCTTAAAATTATAATTTTAAAAATAAATAAATGTGTCAATTTCTCCCGCTAGTTTTGTCCCTGGATACATTGACTCTGGACAATCACTGCACCAAGACGTTGCCTGAGTACCGTAGAGGTCACATCCAGAAACTAAGTGAACTAAACGTTGTCAGTTTCTGCAGGTAAACCCTGTCCACACATTCTGCAGGTAAACCCTGTCCACACATCCTGCAGGTAAAAACCGTCCACACATCCTGCAGGTAAACCCTGTCCACACATCCTGCAGGTAAACCCTGTCCACACATCCTGCAGGTAAAAACCGTCCACACATCCTGCAGGTAAACCCTGTCCACACATCCTGCAGGTAAACCCTGTCCACACATCCTGCAGGTAAAAACCGTCCACACATCCTGCAGGTAAACCCTGTCCACACATCCTGCAGGTAAACCCTGTCCACACATCCTGCAGGTAAACCCTGTCCACACATCCTGCAGGTAAAAACCTGTCCACACATCCTGCAGGTAAACCCTGTCCACACATCCTGCAGGTAAACCCTGTCCACACATCCTGCAGGTAAACCCTGTCCACACATCCTGCAGGTAAAACCTGTCCACTCATCCTGCAGGTAAAACCTGTCCACACATCCTGCAGGTAAAACCTGTCCACTCATCCTGCAGGTAAAACCTGTCCACTCATCCTGCAGGTAAAACCTGTCCATACACCCTGCAGGTACAACCTGTCCACACATTCTATACTTACATCCAGACCTTACTATTTTGAATCTAGACCTAATGACAGACCTCACCCCTATTCCCCACCCTCCACCCCCACCCTTCAGTAATCCAAAGGCCTATAGTCAGTGTATCCTGGATTCAAGACGTGATAGTCACACAGATCAGACATACATGGTCAAATTGTTCGAGAAACAATTTCCTAAAGAGTACGATCTTAAGCGTGCGGCATATCTGCTATGTACCAAAGGGACAACATACTGTAAGTAGACAAATGTTGTAAGTAGACAAAATTTGTTAGTAGACAAAACTTGTAAGTAGACAAAAGTTGTTAGTAGACAAAACTTGTAAGTAGACAAAAGTTGTTAGTAGACAAAAGTTGTTAGTAGACAAAAGTTGTTAGTAGACAAAACTTGTAAGTAGACAAAAGTTGTTAGTAGACAAAACTTGTAAGTAGACAAAACTTGTAAGTAGACAAAAGTTGTTAGTAAACAAAAGTTGTTAGTAGACAAAAGTTGTTAGTAGACAAAAGTTGTTAGTAGACAAAAGTTGTTAGTAGACAAAAGTTGTAAGTAGACAAAACTTGTAAGTAGACAAAAGTTGTTAGTAGACAAATGTTGTTAGTTGACAAAACTTGTAAGTAGACAAAAGTTGTTAGTAGACAAAAGTTGTTAGTAGACAAAGCTTGTAAGTAGACAAAAGTTGTTAGTAGACAAAACTTGTAAGTAGACAAAAGTTGTAAGTAGACAAAAGTTGTTAGTAGACAAAAGTTGTTAGTAGACAAAAGTTGTTAGTAGACAAAAGTTGTTAGTAGACAAAAGTTGTTAGTAGACAAAACTTGCAAGTAGACAAAAGTTGTTAGTAGACAAAAGTTGTTAGTAGACCAAACTTGTAAGTAGACAAAAGTTGTTAGTAGACAAAACTTGTAAGTAGACAAAAGTTGTTAGTAGACAAAAGTTGTTAGTAGACCAAACTTGTAAGTAGACAAAAGTTGTTAATAGACAAAAGTTGTTAGCAGACAAAAGTTATTAGTAGACTAAAGTTGTTAGTAGACAAAAGTTGTTAGTAGACAAAACTTGTAAGTAGACAAAAGTTGTTAGTAGACAAAACTTGTAAGTAGACAAAAGTTGTTAGTAGACAAAACTTGTAAGAAGACAAAAGTTGTTAGTAGACAAATGTTGTTAGTTGACAAAACTTGTAAGTAGACAAAAGTTGTTAGTAGACAAAAGTTGTTAGTAGACAAAGCTTGTAAGTAGACAAAAGTTGTTAGTAGACAAAACTTGTAAGTAGACAAAAGTTGTAAGTAGACAAAAGTTGTTAGTAGACAAAAGTTGTTAGTAGACAAAAGTTGTTAGTAGACAAAAGTTGTTAGTAGACGAAAGTTGTTAGTAGACAAAAGTTGTTGGTAGACAAAAGCGGTAAGCAGAAATAACAAAATCTGTAAGTAGTTGTTTGTTTAAGTATGTTTGCAAGTAGACAAAGATTATAAGCACATCACGACACAGTACACCGATGTAAACATTTTTGTATTTGAATGTTTAGTTCTTGCTCTCATATGAGGTGAGGTTCTAAACTAACTATAAACTCAACACTTACTGGAAATAACAATCTATACAAAAACAAAACAAAGATGTCATGAGTCATGTTACAAAAATGTGATGTCATGAGTCATGTTACAAGATGTCATGTCATGGCTCAGTGTTACAAGATGTCATGTCATGGCTCAGTGTTACAAGATGTCATGTCATGGGTAGGTCAGTGTTCCAAAGATGTCATGTCATGGGTCTGTGTTACAAGATGTCATGTCGTGGGTCAGTGTTACAAGATGTCATGTCATGGGTCAGTGTTACAAGATGTCATGTCATGGGTCAGTGTTACAAGATGTCATGTCATGGGTCAGTGTTACAAGATGTCATGTCATGGGTCAGTGTTACATGATGTCATGTCATGGGTCAGTGTTACAAGATGTCATGGGTCAGTGTTACAAGATGTCATGGGTTAGTGTTACAAGATGTCATGGGTCAGTGTTACAAAATGTCATGTAATTGACAACTACTCAACACGTGTCTTGTAGAAATATTTTAAAGTGTGTACACAATTGACCAGTGTTGTCAGATGTCATTACTTCATGCAGTGTCAAAGTTCGCTTCATTTGACTACAAAGTTTTAATTGACTGCGAGATGTCCGCTGACATTGACCAATGCGAGATCGAAGCCACCTCGGCCGAGAGATTACAAAACTTAACGGCCGCCTTTGCCTCCAACAACCAAGCGAATATCGAGAAACATTCATGCAAGTGGGTTCATTCTTTTTGTTTCTTTACTTTCAATCTAAAATAAGAGATTTCAGAATTCTTTCCCCAGGAAGGTTTATTGTTTTTGTTCTCATACTATTTCTTGATTTTTTAAAAATATGGCTTAAACGATTGACAAACATACTAAAAGTGTAATAT